TCCTCTGCCCTTTGTTGTAGATCTTTGCTGTAGTTATAACCTTCACACCTACTGAAGTTAAGGTGGAGATCTACAGAGTTTGGACTTATGCAGCTTCGTCTGGCTTAGGTCTGGCTTCTGTGCTCAGCTCCTTCCTGCTGCGGACCAGGGTAGGACTGGGTCTGGGGGTTACCGGAAGTCGGCAGAAATTCCTACGGACCTGGGCTAGGACTGGGTCTGGGGGCTCCCGGAACTCGGCAGAAAATCCTACTCGGCAGGCGGGGTCGGGGAGGCACTGCGGAGTCTAGAAATGTTGAAGTAATAAACTTCGACCTTTCTCCTGGCCCTTTTGTCTTTCCGTTCCCTAAAACAGTAACTTGGAGAATGAGGTGCTCCTCTACAAGGATTCACTGAGCCAATAAGGAGATAGCGAGTCTCCCAAGTAACAGTTTAGGGTGCAGTGACATCTTACCAACAGCCTCCTTACGTGAGTCCCTTGGCATCATGTGGGAGGTAACTGGGGTTTTTGGCAAAGTCACAGCTGGCAATGTTAAGAGCAGCTCCCTGTGTTTGGTGAACAGCAGCAGGAGAGCCCACCCTTGCCCACTCAGCTCTGTGCCTTGAGAACCAGGACAGGTGACTGCAGCCCACGTCTGCATACCCTTGACAACCTGGAAAAACACACCAAGTGTAGCCTTCAACATTTGCTTAAAGCACCATCAAGTCCTCATTCAAATGAATGCTTTCTCTTCTCCTCAGTGATTACTAATGGAAAAAGAAACATTATATGAAATGACTAAGTTGCCAGATAATTCCCAGACTATTTGTAAATTTGGGACCTAGTGACTTTTTCCCCAACTGTTCTTGTTTCCATTGCCCACTTTCATTGCTAAGCAGCAAGCGGAGACCTCGTCTGTGCTGTGAAACAATTTCTTCTTGAAATGTGAGTGACATTTCTCTGATTGACACTAGGTCTGTCTGCTTACAAAGGCTTAGAATATATTGTAAAATAGATACAAACACTAAATTATAAGGGCACACATCGTCAACAAAGGCTAAAAAAATTACTTAGTATTAGATATGGAAATTAATATATGAGCTTTGTTACTCATGAGGCTAAGTTATATGCTATTTTCAGAAACATGATTTTAAAGTAACATTACAAGCAAAGCAATTGGAATACATACGAGGTATAAGACAAATTTTGATAGAAAACACAATTTTTCATGTGTTACATAAACAACATTGAACATTCTAGAAAATATTTTACGGGACCGGTCAGATACCTCAGTGGGTTAAAGCGCTTGCTTAGGCAGATGCAGGAACCAGGGTTTGACTCCCAGCATGCCATGGCAGCCCTGCCCCCAGGGCGCATTAAGGCTCTGATTGAGACTGGGCATGGTGGTACACACCTGTAATCCCAGTGCTTGGGGGGCTGAAAACAGGAGAATCACTACAAGTCCAAT